TTGAGCCACAGCACCACTTCCAGCTTTTTCTGCTTATGTGGTGCTAAGGAATCGAACCCAGGGCCTCATGCATGCAAGGAAAGCACCCTACCACTGAGCCACTTTCCCAGCCCCAAGAAATCACTTTTATATATGCTATGTAGTGATCAAATATACAACTGTAAGAATGATACTTCCTCTGGTTAAAGGGTTACAATAAATTTTTTCAGAAAAGTGAAGGGAAATGAAAATAAGAAAGACATGCTAAATGGTTAGGGTTGGGTCTAGATATAGCCACAGTTTAAGCAAACTTGCCATATAAAATATTTGGAAAATATAGATGTATAGAGGTGCATGTTTTTTAACCGTATTTCAGTCACTTTTAAGTAATACATACTCATTGTAGAAAACTTGAAAAACTAAAATTAAAAATGATGAAAGTAAAATAATTCAAAATTGCACATCTTATAGATAATGAACTATAATAATTCTTGGGCATCTCCTTATAGATTTCTTTATAGATCTCTAGATAGATCTCTAGATAGATAGATAGATAGATTATTTTTTGTGCCAGTACAGGGACTTGAACTCAGGGCCTAGGCTCTGTCCCTGAGCTCCATTGGCTCAAGGCTAGTGCTCTACCACTTGGGCCACAGCTCTACTTCTAGCTTCTTTTTGATAGTTTAGTGGAGATAACAGTCTGATGGGAACGTGCTGGTGGCTCATGCCTGTAATCCTAGCTACTCAGGAGGCTGAGGGCTGAGCACTGAGGTATGAAGCCAGTCCGGGCAGAAAAGTCTGCAAGACTCTGATCTCTAACTAAGCACCAAAAAAGTCAGAAGGGGAGCTGTAGCTCAAGTAGCGACCAGGTAGCGCAGAACAAAAAAAAAAAAAAAAAAAAAAAAACCGCAAAAACAGTGCCCAGGTCCTCAAGCCCCAGGACCTGAAAAAAATAAAGATTAAAAATTAATTTAAAAAATGAAAAAAGTCTTATGGAATTTCCTGCCTTGCTGGCTTCAAACTGCAATCTTCAGATCTCAGCTTCCTGAGTAGCTAAAATTACAGGTGTGAGCCACCAGTGCTCAGCTCACTTTTTAAATATGCAACTGAGACAACACTGTAAATGTATCCTATCTCCTGTTTTTGCCATTTAGCTTTCTGGTATGTGCTTTTTCCATATGAACCTCCTAGAATTCATCTGACCACTCATTTATTGGTGAACTATTATAGTTTTTCCCCAATTTTTCATAATACAGTTCCATCCTTAAATCTTACACTATAGCTTCAATTAATTTTTTGGACAGGCAAGGAAGAGGGTTGAGACAATTTCTCTCACTATGTGGTCCAGGCTAGCCTAGACCATGTTTTATAATCCAGGCTAGCTTGAAAGTCATAATTTGTGATCTTAATTCAGCCTCCCAAGTACTAAAAGTAGAGTAGTACACTAGCACACCCAGTGATATATCACCAATTTCTTGAGATCAAGTCACCACAAAAGGTATCATTGGAATCAAAGGGTATACATGATTTTTTAAGTAGTTGTACAAAGGAGGTGCCATTTTCTTTTCTTTTTTTTATTTTTTTGGTCGGTCGTGGGGCTTGAACTCTGGGCCTGGGCACTGTCCCTCAGCTCTTCAGCTCAAGGCGAGCGCTCTACCACTTGAGCTACAGTGCCACTTCCAGGAGGTGCCATTTAACAAAGGGGTTAAGGCTTTTTTTTTGTCGGTCATGGGCATTGAACTCTGGGCATGGGCACTGTCCCTCAGCTCTTCAGTTTAAGGCTAGCGCTCTACCACTTGAGCCATAGCGCCACTTCTGGTTTTCTGGTGGTTTATTGGAGATAAGAGTCTCGTGGACTTTTCTACCCAGGCTGGCTTTAACTGTGATCCTCAGATCTCAGCCTCCTGAGTAACTAGGATTACACACATGAGCCACCGGCACCCGGCTGGGTTAAGGCTTTTTTTTTTTTTTTGCCAATCCTGGGGCTTGAACTCAGAGCCTGGGCACTGTCCCTGAGCCTCTCTGTGCTCAAGGCTAGCACTCTACCATGTTAGCCACAGGACCACTTCTGGCTTCTTCTGTTTAGGTGGTACTGAGGAATTGAACCCAAGGCTTCATGCATGCTAAGTAAGCACTCTACCACTAAGCCACATTCCCAGTCCTTTTGCTTTTGATGAATCTTATTAGGTTGCCTGACTGAAAGTTTTTCCCAATTTATACTAATACTAGTACAGAGCTGAAGTTTATCAGGTTTCTTTGCTAATTTTCTAGACTTCAAAAAGCATCCTGATGTGGGGCACCAGTGGCTCACACCTGTAATCCTAGCTATTCAGGTGGCTGATATCTGAAGAGTGTGGTTCAAAGGCAGGCTGGGCAGGCAAGTCTGTGAGACTCTTATCTCCAATTAATCACCAAAAAAAAGCTGTAAGTGGCACTGTGGGTCAAGTTGTAAAGTGCTAGCCTTGAGCAAAAGGAGCCCAGGGACAGTCTCCAGGCCCAGAGTTCAAGACATAGGACCAGAAAAAAAATCCTGTTTAATATATCTTTCTTTGATTACAAGTAGGGATGAACATTTTTCCATACTAATATATTTCCTTTTTTCTTTTTCTTTTTTTTTGCCAGTCCTGAGGCTTGAACTCAGGGCCAGGGCACTGTCCCTGAGCTCCTTTTGCTCAAGGCTTGCATTCTACCACCAGAGCCATAGCATCACTTCTGGCCTTTTCAATGTTTATTTGGTACTGAGGACTCAAACCCAGGGCTTCATACATGTTACACAAGCACTCTACTGCTAAGCCACATTCCCAGCCCAGTAATATATTTCTTGATTTGTGAAGTGTCCACATTTCTACTAGAATATTAGTACTTTTTTAAAAAGAAAAATCAAACTTTTGCCAAGCACTGGTGGCTTATGCTTATAATCCTCACTACTTAGGAGGCTGAGATCTAAGGATCACAGTCAAAACCAAACCACATAGGAAGGTCCATAAAACTCTTATATCCAATTATCCACCAGAAAGCCAGAAGTGGAGCTGTGCCTCAAGTGGTAGAGTGCTAGCCTTGAGCAAAAAAAAGCTAAGGGAAAGCTCTCAGGCACTGGGGTCAAGCCCTAGGACCAGCACAAGAAAAAATCAACTTTTGTGAATTATTTATATTTAAGAATATGAATAAGCAGAAATGATTCTTTATGAAACCTTCACATAAGACATTCTTTATTTTTCTGATCCATTTTAAATGAGTTTTGACGTATAAAATTTTACCTACATTTCAATTTTCATCATAAAAATTAAGATGCACCTCCCCAAACTTTACCTAAGGATGTGGCTAATATGAGGAAAGCCAGGACTCTGGGCATGCTATATGCATACAGATTGTATGCATGTATGGTAGAATTGAAAACATCAGCAGTGTCATACATATGCCCATCAAGAAGTACATTTACTGTCCATGTCTCATCTTTCCCAGGATTTAGCACACAGTATGTAATGTGTACAACTAAACTGCATAGATGTGGTATTCAGTACAGCTATACCAGTGATGCTTACAGTATCAACAGAGACAAAAAAAATGAAAGGCTTTGCCATCAGAGCTGGTCCGGCATTATCTCATGCTAATTTCATGAACTCACACAAAATGATTTACTAGTTCCTTATCTGTAAAATGGGAATTTCAGGGAGTTGCAACAAGTCCCAAATGAGGGAACAACAGAGTGCTTAGCACAGTGCCTGATATATAATAGAAATTCCATGAATGCTAGCACCCATCCTCTTCTTGGGAATACTACTTCTCACATAGACCTTCCTTCCTCAATACTGCCCTCCAGTGGACTATGATGCTCCTCCCTCCTCCCATCAGTTAGATGGGCCCCACATAACATAAATCCCGTAGAAGAAAATGTAGATTTCACAAACAGTTTAGTTTCCCACTTACCAAAGAGGTTTTGTGTTTTTTTTTTTATTTTAAACTGAGAGCCACTTGTGATTTGATCTACACAAGTACTGTTGATTTTTAAGTTCAGGAGCTTTTTTTCTATCTAAATCTATTTTGTTAACAATCTGAATCTATATTCTCACCTCTTTTGACTTTTCCCAAAAATTTGTGACCACCCTGACATCACTCCCTGTTCAGCTCAGCCTTTCCCTCAAGCAACATCCCCTTGGTTTTACTCACCCACACAGTTGTCACAGATGCTGCAATGAGAGGCCCGGGGAGGTCGGAAGATCTTGCATGTATAACAGTATTTCAGTTTCACAATCTGGTTGTTTATCTGGAAATTCTTGATACGAGGTGGTGGTCGCTGGCCCTGGGGAACCGCACCATTGGTAGCTTCTGTAAATCAACAAAGACAGTTTCATTCATTGCTAGACATTATTTGAGCTCAAAGTCTTACCACCTTTCCAGAAACAGTGAGGGGGAGGTGGTCACCAAAGATTCCCAAGTGCCAGGTGCTAATGACTCCAGCCTGTAATCCTATTCAGGAAGCTGAGATCTTAGGATCACAATTAAAGCCAGTCTGATTAGAAAAGTCCATGAGATTCTTTTCCAATTAACCAGAAAAATGTCGGATTGGAGAAGTGGCTCGAGTGGTAGAGTGCCAGCCATGAGCAAAAAATGTGAGCAAGAGTATGAGGCCCTGACTTTAAGTCCCAGTACTAGCACACACATACACACACAAAACATATTCTCCAGTCCAATGTCTTCTTTTTGTTTCTGAAGACTTTTTAATTTTTTTATTTATTATTGTTATTATAAAGGTGATGTGTAGAAGGGTTACAGTCACATAAGTCAGTTAAGTCAGGGTAGTGTCACCCTTTCCACCTTGCCCCTGCTCTCGCTCAGCTTTTCCATCCCATCCCCACCCACAAGTTGTACAGATAATTTTCAACATAGTATCTAGTGAGTCCAATGTCTTCTTTAGATGAGCATTTCAAGACTAGAATTTCACCCTTTTACAGTATCACCCAAAATTCCACTGAATGCCATGCAATTCTGAAATATATAAGTAAAAAGGTATTTCTTAACAGGCACTGGTGGCCCATACCTGCAATTTTAGCTACTCAGGAGACTGAGATCTGAGGATCATGGTTCAAAGCCAGCCAGAGCAGAAAAGTCCCTGTGAGACTCTTATCTCCAATTAATGACTCAAAAACTGGAAGTAGTGCTGTGGCTTAAGCGGCACAGCACTAGGCCTTGAGTACAAAGAGGCTCAGGGACAGCACTCAGGTCCTGAGTTCAAGCCCCACAACTGACAAAAAAGTATTTCTTCAAACTTGGTTGTCTGATTACAAAGAAAAGCAATCATAAAGAAAAATGCCAAAAATATATTAAATACCCAATTTTTACTAATAATCAGAGAAATAAAAATTAAAACAAAAGATAGCATTTCCACTTACTATATTTACAAATATTAAAAAGAATAAAAATACCCAGGGCTGGGAAGGTGGCTCAGTGGTAGAGCGCTTGCCTTGCATGCCTGAGGCCCTGGGTTCAATTCCTCAGCACCACATAAGCAAAAAAAGAAAAAAGCCGGAAGTGGCACTGTGGCTCAAGTGGTAGAGCGTTAGCCTTGAGCTGAAGAGCTGAGGGACAGTGCCCAGGCCCAGAGTTCAGGACCTACGACTGGACCCCCCCCAAAAAAAGTATAAAAATACCCATTATAATCTAGGGTTGCAAAAGTTATTCTTCTACCTTACCAGTGAACAATATGGCAGCAGTTAGTTCAGTACTTTATAATTCAGTAATTCTACCTCTAGGGGCTTATCAAAATTACAAAGACATTTATTCAATGGTATACAATGTCTCTTTTCTGTGTGTGCTGGTCCTGGGTTTGAGTGCTGTCCCTGAGCTTTTTGTTGTTGTTGTTGTTTTTTGCTCAAGGCTAGTGCTCTACCACTTGAGCCACACTTCCACTTTCACCTTTTTGGTGGTTAATTAGACATGAGTCTCATAAACTTTCCTACTTGGGCTGGTTTTGAACCACGATCCTCAGATCTCAGCCTCCTGAGTAGCTAGCATTACAGGTGTGAGTGACCAGAGCCTGGCTTAAAATTATTTTAAAGCTGAAAGAAGAGCATGGTAAAGTCTGAGGAGTTATATACAAAGTTGCTAGCATTAAAATGGCTATATTCCTATTAAAGAGAAAATAGGAGGGAAAGAAAAAATTGAAGTCCTCCTATAGTAAATCACCTTAAATATCTGGATTATGTCTTTTAGCTAAACCCTCAAAAAATCCTTAATTTTCCAGGCACTCTTGGTTCGTGTCTGTAATCCTAGCTAATCAGGAGGTTGAGCTCTGAGGGCCAAGGTTTGAAGCCAGCCAGGGCAAAAAAGTCTGTGAAACTCTTATCTCTAATAAACTACCAAAAGGCCAGAAGTGGAGCTGTGGCTCAAGTGGTAGAGCCTTGAGCAAAAGAAGCTCAGGGGCAGTGTCCAGGCCCAAAGTTCAAGCCCCACGACTGGCAAACACAAAAAATGAATCCTTAATTTCTAGGCCAGAGAATATGAACCTTCATAGCTCATAAGGTTTAAAAGTTTGGCAACAAACTGCTTCCCAGACAGACTTCCAGGCCTGCCCATCCACAGCATGTGAGAGTGCCATCTCATTGCTCCCTTGCTATGCAGTATAATTCTAAAAACAGAATATATTTCAATTCATTTTTATTTTAAAAATATCTGCCATATGGAACATTTTTCCTTTTTTGCAGAGTGGGGTAGGTGCTGTGAAATCAAACAATAACAGTGTGTCACAAGTCTTAGCTAATTCATTAGAGAATGACATAAGTACCAGCATGCCATCTTAATGTTTCTTTGCATATCCTTTATATTAGGGTACCTGGGAGACAGAGATCATATTTCAATCTCCCAGAGACACTAAGACACATACACAAAAAAATCAAACAACTTCTTCTCTTCCTACTCCATAGAATATTAAATATATGGCTGAATATAAAGCTGACAAAAACTTGCTAACATAAATATATGCATTAACTAAGAATATACTCTTCTAAAGCAGGGTACAATGCCTGTAATCCTAGCTTGTTGATAAGTGAAGATCAGGAGATCACAGTTTGAGGTCAACCCAGGCAAAAAGAAGTTTACAAGGCTCCGTTTCAACCAGTAGCTGAGTGCAGTGGTACACATCTCTCATTCCCAAGCAAGAGGATCGCTGCCCAGGCCAGCCTGGTCATAAAGTAAAACTCCATTTCAAAATTAACTAATTTAATAAGGAACTAGCAGCATGGTTCAAGTGGTAGAACGCTATATATTCAATTCCCAGTAACACCAAAACAAAACAAACAAAAAGAATATGTTCTTCTATTGAAAGTGCCATGATAAATGCAAAGGTCACAATGTGACAGCTTGAGTTTGAGCCACAGGCCCAGTAATGGAGAAGAAAACAACTAATCATGCTGAGAATCTATAGTGAGATGCCAAAGACTAGTCAAGGTACTGCTTTGACCTTCAGTTTCTTCATATGAGAATAGAAAGCAGTCTATAAAATAATCTAGAAGAAGAGGGAGGAAAAGTGAACCAAATGCAAGCATGGTATTCAGTATATACTATGTTGAAAATGAACTATGCAACTTGTGGGCAGGGACAGGAGGGGGAAACTGAGGGAAAGCAAAGGAAGGGGCAACACTATCCAAAAGCAAGGAATGCATTCATTACCTGATATATGAAATGGTAACCCCTCTGTATGATACCTTAATAATAACAATAAACTTATATTAAAGAAAAAAGAATCCAGATGGAGAAAAAAACAGCTCATAATTCTCCCTCATGTGTGGCACTTAATTACCTCTGGTCCTACCCTTAGCTCTCCCCAAGACTCTATTTATACATCATACCTGGCTTCTGCTTTCTCTCCACTATTCCCTTCCCACCCATTCAGTTCATATATATGCAAGTCAATTTCTCCTTAACTCACCTAAAATGGTCTGAAATTTTTCAAAAAGAAATGTGCTAATAAGCAGACACCAGTGAATCACGCCTGTAATATTAGCTAATTCAGAAGTAGATTAGAGATCATGACTTGAGATTCCATCTCAACCAAGAGCTGGGTGTGGTGGCATGTGCACCACATGTCATTCCAGTGGCATGTGCCACATGTGTCACCATGTCATTCCAGTGACATGAGGAGGTATAAATGGGAGGATCACAGTCCAGGCAAAAAGCAAGATCCTATTCAAAAAACAGGCACAGTACATCAAGTGAATACAATGACTGTCTGGCAAGTATCAGGCCCTGAGTTCAAGCCACAGTGCTGCCAAAAAAATTACAAAGACATGGATATCTTCAAAGCATTTCAAATAAATATAGGGCAGATATAGACTGGTACTCGACTAGCATAGCTCCTTAGCCTTACAAGTCCTAGATCACTTTCTGATTGAGATGGTGACTCAAACTACTTTGGTGCAAACTTGAAAAACATTTCGATAGACACTGCTGCTAGTTCGGTAGGATCCCACTCTCTCCTAGTACTTGTATCACAGACTTCTTTCACATTGACAACAACCAGGATATCCTTCTCTCTAGCCTTGTGATGTTCTACTTTAATTCATGAAGCTATCATAGCTCTAGGTAGTGTAGAATTTCAATCTCTGTCACAAAGACCCTTACCCTACACTATAGACTGTACAGTTCTGAGTTTAAAATTACCTCTTGTACCTCTCCTAGAATTTTGAGTTGTTCCTGTACCATAGCTGCTCCTTCTCACCTTGCTTGTTCCCTAAAACAGGAATTCTTGGTAAGGGGACCTGTGAATGTACTTCAGAAGATGTATGAGTCCCTAAAATTACATCTCAAATTGCATGTATATGCATGCATATAATACTTAGTGGGGGAAGTTTATGGCACTCATCAATAAAACAAATGTGTAGTGACCCTCCTCCAAAAAAGTAAAAAAAAAATCCTCTTGGAAACAATGCACCCAGACCTTAGTTAACAAATCCTCTCTGGAATGCAGCCTACCATGGGGGAAAAAAACAGCGTAAGACTTTATAAGCTTGCTATGCCTGCTTTACCAAATTCATAGAGCAGTCATTTGTGATCTCAGACTCCGGATCTTAGAGAGAAAAGGCTTGTAGGCTATGAATCTGCGATTACTTTTATAACTCCATTCCCTTATTAAAAAGATGACAACCATCAAAAGTTGCCATCTGTTTGGAAGACTTACCTATCTCCATTTCTATGAAAGCTGCTTCATCAGGTAGGGCCCTAGGAATCACTCCAGGGTCACTGAAACTAGTCCTCAACAGTGTGGCCATAGAGAAAAGGAAAAGCATGGCAGCAAACACAGGAATGGCAGGAGACAGCTGAGCAGCCAGGTAGCGACACCTAAAGAAAACAAGCAATTCAACAGTTCATTATACTAGCCCTATATTGTTCTCCAAATGTTACAAGGATACCCATCTGGTCTCTACAACAGAATCAACAGTACATCAAAGACAGGGACCATGATATTTACCTAATTTTCCAAACACCTAACAGATAGTTTTGAACACAGTACAAGCTCAACACATACTAAATAACTGGTGACACCTATAACATACAAAGATGGCTTCAGGGAACCTACCTCAAGTTAACCTATGCCTACTATCAGCCTATGGGAACCACATTTTGTCTGCATCAGGAAAGGCACACATCTGCTAAGGTTGCTTTTACTCTGGGGATGCCCAGGAAATTTCATACCCACTCATTTGGCATTAGGCTTGAACTTGATGAGAAGGGAAAACAAAAGAAGAACAATTAGGAAGCAGGCTCACAGTGTTGGACACAGGGTATCTCAGCATGCTTGAAGACCAATGCAAAGGTTCAGAGCTGCTGACTGACTCTGCAACATCTATACCTCATAGCCTCAGTTCAGCTAGTAGGTGACTAAAGACCATTAAAAAGAGTAAGACCACCTCAGCCAGGCACTGGTGGCTCACCCCTGTAATCCTAGCTATTCAGGAGGCTGAGAAATGAGGATCATGGTTCAAAAGCAGCTCGAGCAGGAAAGTCCATGAGACCTTTACCTTCAATTAACCACCAAATGCCTGATATGGGGCTTTGCGTCAAGTGGTATAGCACTAGCCTTGAACAAAAAGCCTTGGGAACAGCACCCAGGCCCTTGAGTTCAAGTCACAGAACTGACAAAAAAATTATCATTACGATTCTGTATTTCTTAGACCCTAATATAAGGGAACAAAGATAAGTAAATCAATAAACATTTATTGATCTGAACTGAATATCAAACCAAATGAATGGGAATATGCAATAAGAGTGATTGCTGACCTATTTTTATCCTCGTCCTGAGGCACATTTCTCCTTGAAAACAGAGATCTTCACTGGAGGCAGACTATAAGTGGATGAGCAAGGAGCAGAGGGAAAGCAGAGAAAGTAAAGCTAAGGAAAAAGCTTACCTCATCAGCATAGGGAGTAAGCAAGCTGCAGTCTATTCAGGGCAAACGTTTAACCCTGGATTGTATATTTACTGCTGTTTCAGAATAACCCTCAGGCGATCCTCCCCTGCCTCCTTGCCACACAAAACTGTATGAGCAGATGAGACCAACTGTGATATTAGACTAAGCAATTTGTGATGAGATGAACATATTTGTTGAACCTGCAAGATAATTTTAGTAGCTTCTTTTGTTTATTTGCTTGCTTGTTTGCTTGCTTGCTTTTAACACAATCTTTGGTCTTAGCTTGCTTTTTAATGATTTACTTCCTTCTCCTAAAAGCTAAGGGGAGGGGAGAATTTGAGAACGGAAGGTTCTGGCAGCTGGCTTCAGGGTAATTAAGGCTCATGCATATCACTAGCTTGTGGATTACCCTCCTTTCCATTGCTCCCCTTCATGGACACACATAACCAAAAAGCGAACTCAGAAACAAAAATCACCACCACCTACCAGGAACCCCAAGTACATAAGAGAAGCATGAGGCTTTGTTTCATCAGCAGACCATGCAAAATTACCACACTAACAGAAAACAACCATCTTCCTAGAGATTGCCCACCCATAAGATCTCTTGAAAACAAAGAAGCAATGTCTCTGAGACTGAAAACTATTCAGAGTTCAGGTTCTAATCAAAGCCTTTAAAAGACAAGAGCTGATTAGCCATGTTTATTTCTTTTTAATAAAGGAAAAAGAGTGAGTAGAACCACCACCACAAAAAATTCAAAATTAATGTTGTCCCCTGATCTGAAGAATCCAAGCTTAACCAAGTCCAATTCTAACACCTGCTTGTAGACCAGACAAAGAACAACTTAGATTTGAATTATGCTACACCATCAAGGATAAAAGTCTCTGTAATGTCCACACAGACTATCTTCTGCACCTGCTACAACAATCCACTCTGTATGTCAACAAGTATACAAGAGGCCCATTGTATTCTTCTCCTCCAGAGATGAGGCTACTACTGGCAGCCAGTTGTCTCTAGTGAATGGGTGTGGCTGGAGAGGCAGATGTGGGACCAGCAGTCCTTTTTACTCAGAATAAGAGGAAATCTAGAGCCAGCATTTAAGACTATTGTAAACTACCACCCATGTTGTCTGTCTTTTAAAAAATATCTCCTAAGCCAAGCATGGTAGTACACACCTGTAGTCCTGTAGTCCAAGCTACTCTGGAGGCTGAGGCAGGAGGTTCGCTTGGGCTCATGAGTTCAAGACTAGCCTGGGCAACACAGAAAAACTCTATCTCAAAAATACTTACCTAATATGGGGTGATTGAAGATATGCTGGCAAACAGACAACAAAAATTCCATAAGTAAGAATAAATTCAGGAGACCCACTGTATATAACAGTGCCTATATTTAATAACAATGTACTATAAACTGGGAAACTGTTAAATGTAGATAATAAATGTGCTCAGCACATTTAGGTAACATTCCACAATGTATACATAAATACATCAAAATATCACGTTGACCACCAAAAGTAAATACCGTTTGCACATTTCAATTAATGAATGTAAATACTCCATAGGCTAGTTCTATAACTGAAGTAAGCTGGAAGATCTGTCTGACAGGAATAAATTATATGAAGATTTGATAGTAATTCCCAAAGATCAGGGTATCCTCTAACATCCTTAATATGTCTTAGAGAAAGACTGGATCTGTCATCCATGAACATAAGCTAATTGGATTTGAAACTCCTTAGTACTTTCCATCTATATCACTTCTTGCAATAATGATATCCATACACTTTTGGAAACAGAACTGTCCTTTGTCTTCCAAGTTTCAAGAGGTCTTTCTCCTTCCAAGGAGTTAGAAGTTCCTGTTCTCCCTTTATAAATAATGTTCCAGTGCAGTCTTCATTTTTACCACCTGAAGAGACATCATTTTAAGTTATCCTCTACCAACTTCTTCACTAGCCTCCAGCTTCCAAAGCTGGGCTAGACTCCTATATCCTGATGGGCCACATAGTGGTACTGACCAGCAGTAACCAGCAGTGCCAGGCTAGGTTAGTGTGTCACGTCCCATCCCCCATCCACAGCATGCTAGCTCGTTAGAGGGATGAAAATAACACAGACTTCAATTCACATGGAAAAAAAACTCTCAAAAGATTCATGAGTATTGCTTATAAGAGACCAAGCAGATTCTGCTGCATTGCTATGTCTCAAAGATTAGAAGCTTAGATTGGAGTTCTATATAATACTCTGCCTTAAGTCTCCCTAAGAGCTTTCTTGTTATGTTTTTATGTTTTGTTTGCTCTTTTATCAGTGCAACCACTCAGCCAACAAGTAAGCACTGGCCTACAAAAGAAGAGGAGAAATAGAAGTTAATTTTACTGGAGAAACAAAACTAACATATGAAACAGTGAAAGAATAAAATAAGCCAAATAATCAAGTGTTATAACAGCGATTCAGACTCTAAGCACTATAAGTGGACAGAAAAGAGCTCTCTTGGGGAGCTGGTGGCTGCTTGAAACTATTCCAATAGCATCTGTTAAGGAGAGCTTTTAGGAAGAACTGTGATATGAATAAGGTTTTCCTTAAAGTCTTCCCTGACATGATTGGCTATCTTGTTACTACCTATTATAGAATGAATATCTATGTTGGGCACTGGTTAGCTCACACCTGTAATCCTAGCTACTCAGGAGACAGATCTGAGGATTGCAGTTTGAAGCCAGCCTGGGCAGGAAAGCTCATGAGACTTTCATCTCCAATTAATCACAGAAAAAGCTGAAAGTGGTGTTGTGGCTCAACTGGTAGAGTGCTAGCCTTGAGCAAAAAGGAGCTCAGGGACAGCACCTAAGCCTGGAGTTCAAGCTCCAGGACCAGCAAAAGAGAAAAGTATTTTAAAAACACATGTATTCTAATTGCCAAACAAGTAAAAATTAAAGGCAAAAAGGCCACATTTATGACCCAAAAAAAAATGTCTGTGCGGCGCCGGCGGCGCACACCTGTAATCCTAGCTACTCAGGAGGCTGAGATCTGAGGATCTCGGTTCAAAGTCAGCTGGGGCAGGAAAGTCCATGAGACTCTTATCTCCAATAAACCACTAGAAAACTGGAAATGGCACTGTAGCTCAAGCAGTAGAGCACTCCCCTTGAGCTGAAGAGCGCAGGGACAGCACCCAAGCCCAGAGTTCAAGCCCCATGATCAACAACAACAACAAAAACCATGTATTGTGCTGGCTGGGCACTGGTGGCTCATGCCTGTAATCCTACTACTCAGGAGGCTGAGATCTGAGGATCACTGTTCAAAGCTAGCCCCACAGAAAGTGCATGAGATTCTTATCTCCAGTAAACTATCAAACAAAAAAAAACCACAAATGGAGCTGTGCCTCAACTCTGTAGACCACTAGCCTTGAGCAACAAAAGCTCAAGGACAGCACCTAGGTCCTGAGTTAAAGCCTCCAGGACCAGAGCACATGAGCAAGCCAGTGTGCACGCGCACGCGCACACACGCGCACGCGCACACGCACACACACACACACACACACACACACACACACACACCACATGCTGAGCTTCAGATACTGACCTCCAATTCTCTTAGACAAGAGAAGAGAGAGGATAGGGAAGTCTTCCTACCACTGTAGAAAAGTGTAGCTCCAGGCATGGTGTTACATCAGAATACCAGTGTCCTATAGAGAATGACTCCTTCTCCCCTAGCACCTAACCCCTAACCCAGATTCTTCTCTTCAATGGAAAAGAAACACTTAAAATTTGTGCAGGAACATGATACATGGTGCACATAGCAGGCAGCCACTGAACCAAAGAAAGCTGGAGTCCACTCTCCTGCTTTTGCAGGAAGGATGGTGTACAACTCAGCTTCCTCCTCTCTATTCTCTTCTTCACTATCTTCTTTAGAAACATTACTACTAATAAACACATGTTCAGTATCAGCACATGC